AGTCGTACGTCGGCCGCGACTCCACTCAAGGCATTCCGGAGCCCACCGTTGCCGCCGCCGTTGACGGCTCGCCGCTCTCACCCATTGGTGGCCACAATTCATACTCACATTTGCCTTCCGGTGACCGCAACTCAGGTATTGAATCGCTTTCTTATAATGGGTTTACTATAACGGGGCGGACATTATATGTGTTGTGATGTGTTTTGAGTGGCAATCGATGTATTGTTATATCGTTTGGTTTTAATGGTGTGATTACAGGCGGAAAGCGGAAGTCCATAACCAAACGGTTTCTGGTGTCGCACCTGAGGGGCGAACCCCTACCCGTCCAACGGGAACACTGTTACGGACACCTAAACTACTACCCATTTACGTGTCAATTCAATGGCCATTCGGGCGATTGGCCGACGGCTTGCGGCCAACGGTTCATAACGTTTGACTCGTGTGTCGAGCACTTGCGGGGCGACCACTTCTGTCGCGTCACCGACGACGACATGTACGAAGTGGTGAGCGATTACTTCGAGTTCAACGAATTGCGCCAATTGGACGAACTCATCAACAATCACCTCAACAACAAAGCCATGCCATCGCTCATGCCTTTTGACGATAACGACCGCACCGACGGCCACACCGGCGGCCAATCCATTAGCAACTATAGCGGCGAATACGTCGGTTTGTTTGGCGACCAGAAGCGCAACGAATACGATGTCATCAGCGATGGATCCGTTTGTAGTGTCGATAATGAGTTGAGTTATCGATTTACTGATGATTCGGCGGACAAACCCAATGGCAAATCAAAGGCCAACGGATACCGAAAGCGGCAACAGAACAGCTTTACTGACAAATACTTCCCGAATGACAGCAATTGCGAGAATCGTTTGGATTCACAGGAATATCCGAGTAATGCATTTCTATACTAATTGTATTCATTTGATTCAATTTAATGTTTGTTTTTTCAATTTAATTGATTAGAGAAGAGAAGGGGTCGACCGCCGAAGAATGTCGACGACTCGCCTCACAATCCGATTGTGGAGTGTAGTCAAGAAGTGGACATTGAGGTCGATTTGACCCACAAAAGGACATTTGCCAGTAATTGATTCATCCATAATGTACTCCTTTATAGCCAATCATTTCTTACAATTAATTTGTTTGAAATAAGTGTTGAAACCAAACCTATTAACTATGAATTGATACCAATACTGATTGCCTGTTCGCTCACAGATTGGTTCACACAAACCAAACGCACGAAATACCCGTATTTCCCGCAAAAGGACGACGACGTCTATTACATACCGTACGGACACTCGATATATCGGCGGGAAGTGCTGCAGCGGGGCATCTATGGTCTGGCCAACAAACACTACGCCATGAAGCAGTACCCATACGACCACGTATTGGCCAAAGTGACCAAAATTGACTTTCTCTTCAAAGAGCGCCGCACCGAACAGTCAGTTGTCCGTTGCGTTTACATCACACTCCGGCCGTACGACAAGAAGTACGGCACGATTATACACGTCAAGTATCACGACATGGAGGGTGTGGTGGACTTTATTGTACTGCGCGAACACTACGAACAAGCGATGGCCACCGAGTGGTCCGTTGGCGATGAATTCCGCTCTCTTGTCGACGACCACTATTGGTTTGGTGTTGTCATTGGCTTTAACGCCGCCGACTATAGCCAAGTGAGCCGTTTTCGGGCCATTGAGATCAAGTGGCACTCGAACGGCGCCACCGACTACTTGAGTCCATGGGATTTGGAGCCAATACCCGACGACCCGTCGCTATTGGCTATCGATAGGGGTTCGAGAGTCGCGGTCACTGACGACGATAGGGACGCCTTTTTCCAGTCTCTGCCCGACGAGTGGCCACACTATGACGAGAGACGAGAGCTGCGCCGAGTGGCCAACGGTATGCTTTTGAATGCGTTTCCATTGAGTTCTTAACGCAACGCCTATTCGGATATATCAGGTCTGAAGATAATCCTAACGATGGAGAAGACGCGCGAGTTTTGCATATTAGACGACTTGACCGAAAGCCGATATCGGGATAAAATCCTATACCCGGTGGACATGAAGACGTTCATCGCGCGCGTGGAGAACCGTTTCTATCGGCGCCATTTGGCCATCAAATACGACCTGAAGTTCATGGAGGCTAACATCAGAAAACTGGTGAAATCGGTGAAACGCGACCCCGAGTTCCGGTTCGACGAACTCATCGCCAAACGACTCAAATACCACACGAAGTTCGTCACCGCCTTATCGTTGCTCTTCATCGACACCCATGACTGCAAGAATCCCTACGATCTCTACCCCAATATCGACGAGTATCTCGAGACCCACGACGTGAAGTGCTATTCGGCCAAACGGGTCCACTTGAATCTCGTCAAGAAACACCCCAACCTATTGCCGGCGCCGCACAAGCGCTTGGCGCGGCCCCAGAGTTTCGGCGATTCGGCCAAACAGTTACGCATCTATCGGGCGCTCAAGAATACTCACTCGCGAACCCCTTTCACGTACGGCTCGGTTCAGGCCCTCTCCGCTCCGTCGGCGTCAGTGTCGCCGCCACTCCCGCCCGACCCCACACACCCCACACCACGCGGTTCCACAATCTCTTACACTCCCCACACACTCAACGATAAGCCGCGCAAACCGTTGTTTTTGAAGGCGAAGAAAGCGGCCGCCGCTCAGCGCAGGAAGACTTCCACACCGAAAAAGAGGCCGAAGTCAACGCTCAATTCGGCGCCACTCATGAGTGCCTTCAATGAGCGCACAAATCGGGCCATCGATGACACTATGAAAGAAGGGGCCGTCGGTCTTAAGGCTAGTATTTATTGATTTATATTTGTTTTTAATTTGTCATCTGTTTTCTGGTTGTTTAGACACCGGATCGGAACAGTTCATCGCAAGAGAACCGCTATAATACATGTAATGACAACTGCGGACCCGATCCACAAATGTATAGCTCCGATGTCTCAATATCTGAGGTATTATTGAATTGGTTTTTACAGTTTTACTGATTTAATTGTTGATTTGTGCCAAAGAATGAGTACAACTTTATTAACGTGAGCGACGAGTCTTCCGGTGACGACTCCGAAGTGGATCCCGACTTTAAGACATCCACTTATTATAAGTACAAAATTAAAATACCGGTAAAATTGATCATATTTTAGCTTTTATTTCACTATTAAATACAACATTTGCCTGTTTTTCACAGCATTTGAAAGAATATCAGAATATCTTCAAGAATACCGGCGTTTAAGTACACGGGATGTCAACTGAACAGCAAATGTTATATCATTTTTATGTTTTTTCTCTATTTTACTGATAATTTCTTTAATTGTATACTAATTTCAGGCATTCATAGCCCCATAACTTTATTTTTTGTCCTAACATTTTAGTTTAATATGTTTTTTATTAGAATTTCATTTTAATTAATATAATACACACTTTAATTGTATTTTGTTTCTCATATTTCATAAGAATTTCATTGACATTATTGTATTTTTTGTCATTCATTTCATTGAATTAGTTGAAAATACCTTTTTTCGCTTTTTTTATTGTTTATTATAACTAGAGTTAATTAGAGTTTTGCTGAATAATATTCAGTGAATATGTCTTATGATTGCTTTGAAAACTTGTAACCCATTTAATTTAATTTCATTTAAATATTCATACAGTCTAATTTGTCATACAGCCTAATTTGTGTTTTGGTTCATAAGTTTTACTATATCTATGAAAACGTTAATTACATAATTATAAACATTTGTTACTTTTTTTGATTGATTTAATTTGTTTTTAAAAGTACACTAAATATTCAGTTTATTTTATAAATTAAAAATATTCTTTGTATTTGAAATACAAATGTTTAAATATTTTAATAAATTTTAATGAAAACTATTTTTTGCTCTGGAAATGATCGTAAAATTGAGTGCTATTTTTATGGCCAAAGTTTTATACATTTTATAACTTTTTCTCATTATAAAGTGTACTCATCGCTGGATTTTGATTCATTTGTATTCATAGGATTGTATGCACAGAAATGAAGGAATAATCCATAGACTTTATGGCATAGAGGGTTTCAGTGAATAATTTTCATTTTCCATTACCACTCGCTTTGAATATTAAATTTATTTTTGTTTTAATTTTAAATCTATTGAAATCACTTTAAAACGTAAGTCGAAACTGATTTCAATCGTACCGTATATTTAGGGCAGTGAGAAAAATTCCCCCGGTGAGACCTTGACATTGAATTTTGTCCGCTTTCTCTCTCTCTCTCTCTCTCTCTCTCTCTCTCTCT